ACCCCAGGTTGCTATCTCCATTGATTTTTTTAAAGAGAGAGTGAAAGGGAGGGAGGGAGAAAGAGAGAAACATCGATGTGAGAGAGACACATTGATTGGTTGCCTCCCACACACTCCTTGACCAGGGCTAGGGATTGAACTTGCAGGTATGTGCCCTTGACTGGGAATTGAACCCGCAACTCTCCAGTGCCCAGGCTGGTGCTCTAACCACAGAGCAACACCAGCCAGGGCAAGACACCCATATTTTTAATGGGCAAGTACAGGCCTGATGGCTGCGGGGGCCACAGCAATGTCCATATGGCTCTATCTTGGTGGCACTAAACCTCTTTTACCCATCACAAACCACCATAGTGTTTTTTCAAGGGCCTTTTTGGTTTTGTAATTCTTTTTTTTTAGTGGTCAAGTTTTCCACATTCAGGTCTTTGAGTACATTCTTTTAGGTCAGGGAGGGTCACTGAAAGGTCTTGATGGTCAACTAAGCCTTGAGTACTTCTGAGAAAAGGAAAGGAGTAAGAAGAAAAAGGGCAGCGTCCCCCCAAGTCTCTTGTCTCTCTGAGGATGGTGTTGCGTCCTGTGGCTGGGAGACTTACCGAAGGCTTCCGACAGCCCAAACACCTTCTGGTTGTAGACATCCGTCTTGTCCCAGATGAAATAGTAGGACAAGTCTGGGGCCGCAGCAAACCACTTCCTGAAGAGGCGGCCCTCCACCGCCACCATGAGGTGCACCTTCATGAGGTTGAAGGGGATGGTCGGATGGGTGAGGCTGACCCTCAGGACAGACTTGTAGCCCGGCGTACGGCTGCTCAAGTAACTCAGCCTCATCTTGCCGCCCGAGATGGCGATTTCCTCTTGCAAGGCCTAGAGAGACAGATCACCATGCGTGACGGTCATGGGGTCACTGGTGCAGGGAAGATGGTCATACCCCTTGTACTCTTGTTCAAGAGGCAGAGGGGAGAGCAGAGAGGAAGGAGGGGAGGAGAGGAGAGGAGGAGCAGGAACTAGAAGGGAGAGAAGAAAGAAGAGTGGGAAGCAGAATACGAAGAGGAGCGGGAGGAAGAGGGGGGGAGGGAAGAGAAGGAGAAGGTGGAGGAGGGAAAGAAGAGCCTGGTTTGCAGGGTCGGCTCTCACATGGCACAGCTCTGCCTCACTGAACTCCAGTTTCCTCCTCCATTCAACAAGGATGACGATGCTCAGCTCACTGCATGTGAGGAACTCATAAGATAATGTGTGTAAAATACTTACCATAATGTCACCGCTCACTCACTAGCTGTGTCATTTTGGAAAACTCATGGAACCTTGAATTTCAGCTTCCTCACTGGATTGGTATGAGGATTCTGTAAGGTCCCATATATAACAGAGACTTGGGAAATGCTACTAAGTGGATGATGGTGCTGCTGGGGGTGGTGGTGCTGGGAGCAGGGGGCACTATGAAGAAGGACCTTCCCCTCAGACTAATGAGGACAGCTGCCTCAGCAAGGATCGTTTCTCTCTCAAAACTTTCTTAAAGGAAGATCTGTTTCCAATGGCCTTTTTCTTCAGCAAAGTAAACAGAGACTAGGAGATGTTGACCAAACAGTTATCCAGGGTTCAGAGCCTGCCAAGAACCTGAGGTGAATGCCTCAGCTCATCCACAGAAAGAGGTCGAACTGGCTGCATGGCGCTTCCTGCTCCAGCGCTGCGCTAGATGAACAGAGTGGCTCAACAGGTGTGATGGGCTCAGATCCACAGCGCAAAGTTGAAATGAATGCTGGGATTTTCTGGAGCATGGCAAAGCAGAGCACTTTTATCAGTTTGATGCTCTGGGCTCTGTTTCAGGAAGGGGACATTAAATCAATTGAGGCTAACATAGCCATTAAAAGGACAATGACTATTCCACGCTTGTGTTCAAGTGGGCCTTCACAAAGAAATCCTTTCTGTCTATTACATATAGAAGTGTGAACCCCCACCCGCACCCCATTCTCCCGACTACACAAAATTTTAGGGATTGGGCCTAAACCAAAGCACTCTTCCTACATTTTAGCTTATAAGTTCTAGTCAAAGTGGGCTCCATACCCCAGGGAATCACAGGCAGGGTTCAAGGGCCATCCCGATGTTCTCACAAATATTTACTTTCTGTAACATACCCTTTAAAATTTACATCTCCCAGTCCTTGCGAAGGATCCTCAGTGAGTGGACTGGGAAAACCCAAAAGTTTGTTTTCATGTATGTCATCAACCTGATAATAAGCAAGGGGCAAGGTTTGTGACCCAGCGGGGCTCAGAACGACCCAGCCCAGGAAGCGTTGTAAGGAGGGTGGGACCTTTCACCTCATTTGTTCCAAAGTCCCTGCTCCTGGGGAAATGTCTAGCTGGAGCGGAACTGGGGTTGAGCAACAAATTATTCCTCTCCAGCAAGCCTTGTCTCCTCTGACAGCCATTTCCTAAGAAAGGTCAGCTGGTAGTTGAGACAGGAGACAAGCCCTGAATCTCTGAAAAGAACTGAGGCTTCAACCTCGGGGTGCAATGAGAATTTCCAAACGGCTGTATTTTCTTCTTGTGGGCAGCGTCTGAAGCCACTCAACAGGACACACACACACAGAGATGTGTTTGCCCAGCCAGGCATGAAATATACATACAAAAAATGTAACAACCTTCCGCTCCATCAGCACCGGCAACCCAGGAACATGCACGTAGCCAGAGCTCTCATTAGGCAGGCAGGACCACGGGGCTTCTCCCCGACCTCCCCCCTCCCCCAAATCTCCTCTCCTCCAGGCCTTGTTTCTCTCATAAGAAACTGGGCGGGGATGGCGGAAAAAATTCAACCCTACACAGCTCTGTTGGGCAGAGAATCTATCTTGATTTCTATTAGATTACAATACTTCTTTCCAAATTACTTCATTTTAATGATAATTAAGGAAAGCACTTGCACATATAGTTTTGAGCCAAAGCAATCCTTAATTGGCAAGAAGGCAGAGCATGTAAAATAATCTTAATAATAATGATGGTTAAAATTTATTGAGTACTTAGTAGGTGCCAGACATTGTGCTAGGCACCTCATTGATATTTTCTCATTTCATCTTTATTATGATGCTCACTATTGGGGATCCCTCTGTCTCACTTCGCTTGGTAGAACCTATCACCATAGATATTTTTAATAGAAATAATGAGAAGGGGGGGATGCTGGAGCTTGGGGGGAAGGAAAGTGGAAGTGAACTGAATGGCAGAGTGGAAGAAGAGTAGGGACTTTTTCTAGGATGGAGGGTGCCAGGCAGTTGGATTCTGCATGGTGGGCTGATGGTGTCTCTCTTTCTCTTTCCTCCTCCACTCCCCAAATAAAATAAAGGCATGGAGAAATGCAGTTAGGAAAGCTGGGTACCTGAATTTCCGGAACGATGGGGCCTTTCTCTGCACAGGAGCTGGCAAAGGATGTCAGTGGGGATGGAGACACAATAGGGTTGGGGCGGGCGAAGTTGCTCAGGTCGCAGCTGGGAATCTCATTCTCTTCATGGCGCATGATGATGGTCTCCATGACAAAGAAGCGGTCCCAAGGCAGCCAGAGGGTATGCTCCTGGGTGATGAAAGGTGCCCGCTCGAACCGCAGGATGATGGAGATGCCGCCATTTGTGACCAAGTCAAAGCTGTTTGGGAGGCGGGAGGGTTGAGAAAAAGAGAAGAGGGGGGAGCAGGAAAAGCAGGAAACAGGAGATGATGAGGAGAAGAAGGAAGATGAGCAGCAGGAGGAAAAGATGGAGAAAGGAGAAAAAATTATACCAAAGGGTCTGAGCACTTGTTGAGGAGACTTTAAAACCTAAAAGGTGTCACTGCAGACACAAACAGAAACAGATATTCCACAAAGTATTTAAAAAAAAATAGAGAATTTGCCAAAGTGAATTAAACACTACTGCGACAGAGAGTGACTTGCTAAGACAGAGGGCAGTGGCTGAGCCTCTGCTATGGTGCTCCTGGTACTTACGACTCTTGAGCTGATGCTCAGTGAAAAGTCAGCAGAATAAAGTGGAACAAACCCTGCCCTGGCATTAGGAACCCTAAGCCTAGTTCTGCCTCTGCCAAGAACTACTGTGTGATCTTGGGTAGGTCACTTAGCCTCTCTGATCCTCAATTCTCTCATTTATAGAATGTAAAGGTTCAAATGGACTCTTCTTAGGTCACTAAGATTCTATGACTCTACATCAGCTTTAGTTCTGATTATGATACATTACTCAGCACAGGCCTTTGGGATCACAAAAGAGCTGAGCAATCTCAAGACGCACTGTTAGAATCAGAGTACATCAGAAGTGAATGGGGAACCAGAAGACTGAGTCCCAGCCTCCCAGTTGGGATGAGATCTCCATGACAGCGTCCCCTGAAAGCCTTCAGTCATTGCCCTCTCCCAACCTGATGACATGTTAGTTTCTTCTACAAACTCACCATTGGGGAGGCATTAGGTTCCTACTTGCACAGTTCCAGTGATAAGGAGCTTGCTATAGTCACAGGAGGACTATCTGACCTCTCGCTAATTCTGATTGTCAAGATTTTTTTTTAATTGAGTCTGGGTCCCTCTCCTTATAACTCCTTAGCTCCTGGTCCTTATTCTACCTGCTGAGGTGACTTGAAACTAGTCTGTCCCTTCTGCCTTTGACCATCCTGGAGGAGTTGGAAACAGTGATTCTGTCTACCTGCCACCTCCAGGCTGGGGTGTCTTTTTAGACAGAGTCCTTTGTGCTATTACTTTTAGGATGCACTTTAAAGGCTTGCCCTCATCTTGCTTTTTTTTTTTTAGAAGGAGAACTCCTGCTAACTCTTTACCCACTCAGCATTCTCGCTCCCTGCCCTGGGCGCCCATTGCACCACGTGCACTCCTCCTTACAGGCTACATCATGCTGTCCCGGTATCACAACCTGAACTCTCTGGCTCAGAGACACTAATTCATCTCAGTATTTCTGGAACCTAGTCCAGTGCTTCGTGATTGAAGTTTAGAGAATGAATGCAAGAGTGACACTGTCAATGTCTTCTGAACTAACTGTCCACCAAACAAAGTTCCTCCTTACTTTGGCTGTTATTGTAACTCAACCCAATATTGACCTGTGCAGTGGGTGTTAGAGACCCCAATGCAGGACCTCTCCTTTATCCCTGGTAAATGTACCTTGTAGGATTGGCTTCATTGTTCCAGCTTGCTCTTCCCTCCTAGGAGGGAAAGATTTTTCATGGAATGTTCTGTCCTGGTGCCAAATCTTAGTAGGTGACACCCCCTAGATTCGGGTCCCCCCAAAAAGCTTCTCACACACTTTGCCTATTTCCCACTCAGCCATCCTAGGCCCACACTTGGGTAAAGACAGTTGGACACCACCCTGCTTTGATAAGTCACAAGAGAGAAAGACCAGAGAAGGGGCTTGTTTTGAACTAAGGCTCTGGGTTTGGCTCTACAGCAGAATGTCAATGGTTGGGGGAGCACCCGGACTGAACAGCATCTGTACTTTGACAGAACAGTTTTTAACCATCAAACAGAATTTTGGCCTGACTTACAAGCTCCCTTCATGAGAGGAGGATCATGGGGAAGGGAGTGAAGACCAACATGAAAAGACACTCTCGTGGCTGTGAGCAAGCTGGGGGCAGCTGGCCTTGCCAAGAGCTTGGTGGAATTAGCTCTTGCCAAGAGCCAGGCCTCCAGGAGGGAAACCTTCTAGTGGACATGGATTTGAACCTGACACCAAAGGGGAGGCCCGGTTTTCAGGTGAAGCCCAAGCAGCTTTGGGCCAGTCCAAGCTCTGCTGCTCACTCCATAGGTAAGTTATGTCACCTGTCTGAGCCTCAATCTCTTCATGTAAAATGAAATTAATGATCATAATCACTTGGCAGAGTTTTTAATTAGATAGATGGGATAATGGATGGGAAAAGTGCAGGTCCCATTCCCTGGGCCTCATGCTCTGTATAAATCCCATTTTTCAATTCAACGAGCTTGAACTGCTTCTCTTGTCTGCTACTCTTTTGAAATTTTTCTTCATGACTTGTATTTTTCATCTTTTTAATGATCTTTTTGGCTAACTTCTCTGGTACTGTTTTCTGTTTATGAATTCTTGTTAAGACTGGAGGTCTCACATTTCAGTGTGGGGTGTGTGTATGAGAGCGTATGTATGTGTGTGCGTTTGTGCGTGTGTGGGCTGGATGAGGGCTTGCCTGGAGTATGAAGGTTACAAAGATGAGTTAGGCTTGGTCCCTGGATTTGCATATGCACACTGTCATCTCCAACTACATCTCTAGCCTTAGAGTTCCCCCTGGGGTCTGAGAGGTAAGAAAGAAAGGGAGGCAGGGAAGAGTGGGAGGAACATGGGCAAATGCTACCCATTCACATACCACAAACAGAGATATTCAGACACTTAGAGAATAGGCAGTGACTTTCCCATACATTATGAGGGTCTAAGTTGGGAAGAAAATTTAAGCCCCATAATGCACTGGTAAAAACTGCCCTGAAACCCAAGCTATGAGTTGTTGCAACTCGGGCTACTGTGATGTAATTTAGCAGACTGATGCGGGAAAAATGGCTGATGCTTACCTCTTAGGAACTCCTGCTCTCAAGGGGCAGTAGAGATTGCAGGGGGAGCACAAACAGGAGGGATCACAGCCTGGAGGCACTAGAGTGAGCTTTTTCCAAGGTCCACCAAACGTATGTTTTATGGACCCACCCTTACCAAGCACAGGGCAAAGGACTGACCATTTGCCATCTCATATGAATGATGGTCAAATTTCAGTCCCTATGGCTTGTTTTTGATGACTGCTTCATAGCAGGTAATAATGTAGTCAGTAGTCAGAATAACTGTTGCCTACGATGCTGGCATCTGCTGTTTCCATAAAGTAGGCAGCCCTGAGCTGGAAGGTAGTGCAGACAGAGCATGAAGAGGGAGATTCCTCCATGCTGTAGGGGAAGTCTGTGCTGAGGCCCTTGCTGGGATGGAACGTGTGCAGGGCGGGGAGCCATGGCCTGGCCTGGCCAGGTTACCTGTGGGAACTGGCCACCAACCTCTTCCAGCTGGGCCCCTTCCCATTCCCAGGGAGTGAGAGGAAGGGGGAGGGCTCCCCGTGTCAAGCTTGCCAACCCGTTAAGAGGCACACATGTCTACAAACAGATGAGCCTCTGCTTCATTATCACCTCGGCCGGGACATGTTCACATCTGATATTGGATTAAAGAGGTGCTAAAATCAATCAGGCTGCAGCATCATTTCCAACCCAGAGTGAAAATCAACCTTATGGGCCCACACTTAGCCAGATGGACTGCCACCACCTGATTTTATTAAAAATAGAGGACTTGTCACCACCGACAGCCTAAATATTCCACTTTCCTCCTTCCCCTCCCCTTTTCTCTAAAACATTCTCATTGTTTGTACTGTAACCATTACCTTCTCATCATTTAATAACTTGTAAACTTAATAAACAGCTAATACTTATTCCTAACTTACCACGTGCCAGACCCTGGAAATACAGCAATGAACCCGAGTGGGGCAGGGAGCTGAGATTGATCAGACACCTGCTGTGTTCAAGGTGCTTCCCCATCCATCATAGAATCTAATCCTTACAACCAATTTATGAGCTAAATAGTGGTATGGCCATTTAACAGACAAAGAAGTTGAGGTCCAGAATGGTGAGGAGATTTGTCTAAGAACACATAGCTAGCAAATGCCCAGGGACCCAAGGCCAGAGTTCTGTCCTAACTCCGTGGTTTCCACAGACCTAGGTGGTTGCAAATGGAAAACACAGCAGGAATGGTAAGAGTTCTGGAGCTGTCTGGTCTGTAGACAGTGTTTTATATCCTAAGTCATGAGGCAGGAGACTATATTTAAGGTACCCTAGGTTTACTGTGAGAACCAAATGAGAAGAAACTGCTTAATTTTTAGCCAAAGGGACTTAGGCCAGAGGGAGATACAAGGTCACACAGGTAGTGAGTTGCAGAACTGGGCATCTGAATTCAGGTCCTCTGAACCCAAATTCCATTGTCTTTCCATGTTGCCATTACAACAGCAGTTCTGTGGCAAGACCACAAGAGCAGGGCCTTCACTAGCCCTGGTCAACAAAAGGCCCCTTACCTGCCATCTTGCCTGCTGATCGTGTATCCAAAGAGAGGGTTATTGACGAAACTGATGTTCACACCAACCAGCGGGGTCCCATCTGATGTCATCACTTGACCACGAATGACACATGCGTGCCTGTGGGTAGAGAAGAGTAAATAACATGATCTACTTCTCATGCACAGAACCCTGGCTGACAGGGAGCCCCAGGTCAGAAGACAAAAGGCAGGTTGCTCAGACAATTCTGGTACTCTGGGGCTCATGGTGTTTACTCCAAATGAATAATAACATTTTTCTTTTATTTATACTGCCTCATTGTAAGGCATCAAAGTGTCTCCTAAAGAATTATTATTGGACCCTGGCCAGGCGGCTCGGTTAGTTGGAGCATCATCCTGATGCGCCAAGGTTGTGGGTTCGATCCCTGGTCAGGGCATATGTAGGAGGCAAGCAATGGGTGCATGGATAAGTGGAAACACAAATTGATGTTTCTCTCTCCCTTCCCCCCTATCTCTAAACTCAATAAATAAGTACATTCATTTTAAAGAAGAAATATTATTGGGAGATGCTTTCAGATATCTCACTCAGAGGTCCTTTTCTAAGGATACTGCCTTATACTGTATGGAGCTAAAGCTGATCTGAGAGGGCTCTACAGTGTAGTTATGCATGTGAATCTGTAGTCCTGTGACTTGGGTTCAACCCCAGCTCTTGCCACTCTCCAACTCTCTAAACCTGCACAATATGTGACAGCTCTTTGAATCTGTTTTTTCATCCTGGTGCACAGTAAGCTCCACCAATGGCAGTGGTTATTATTGCCTCCAATAGTCTCACTGGAAATGGATGTACGAGAAAGTGAACAGAATAGAGGGCACTTTGCATCTGGCATTGCAAACAGGAGAAGGGCAGATGCTGGCATCGTCCCCCTAGAGTGGGTTCTGAAACCTGTGACCTCTCCCAATATCCCCCGCCCCACTTTCCCTCTATATTCCAGACAACTAACCATCTGCTTCCCCCAAACTCGCCAGGCAAATTTGGTTAAAGCCTGTGTTTGTGCAATGTTCCTCCATCTGCCTCAAATGTAATCCCTGCACCCTCTATCACTGTTTCTTCTCCTTTAAGACCCAGCTTCTGATGATGCCTCTTCCCTGTAGCCTTTCTTGATGGCCCTAATTAGAACTAGTCACTCTCTTCTAAAACCTGACTCAACACCTTGAGACCGTACCCCACCGTACATGTTTCTCTTCTCCACTAGGTCATGAGCTCTTTGAGGGTAGGATCAAGGTCTATTTCTCTCTCTCTCTGCAAGGCCTGGAAATGCCTCACAAGTACAAGGTCATTGTTGTTGTTTTTCAAAAAAGGTGGTTTGAGTAAGTTGGTGGGACAATTAGAGATGATCAAGAATAATGGTGTTTTTCCTAATGTTTCAGAAACAAAGCCTTTTTGGCAGATGACATTTTAAAAGGACCCCAAAGTGAAAAACAAATACAAGCAAGATCTGCTAGGTGGGGGCCCCCTTTTCTCTCGGGGTGATTCTGAAGGCAACTCTGTGGAGTCTTAGTCCCTGCAGAAGCCAGAGAAAAGCCAGTTGGAAAATCACTGAATGAGAGGAATGGGAGGAAACTGGGGTCCATGAGGTTATGTTATTTGCCCCAAGCCACACAGAGAGGAGGTGGCAGAGCTAGGCTTTGAATCCAGGCCTCACAACTCTGGGCCCAACTCGAGAGCAGTCTGTTTACTATGGGCAATGGGTAGAAATGAAGGTGAGCACTAGGTCAATGTAATAAGGGATCAGGGCACTGGGGGGCGAGGGGGCAGCCCTCATTGACAAATCAGAGGCAAGTGTTTATTGTACACACAACTTTCTCCATTCGCCTCAGTCCAGAAGGCTTTTTTTCTGGCCTAGGGAAGAGCCACGGATGAGGTCTGGGGGCATTCATAAAAAAACCCTCAAACGAAGCCTCTGTTTTATTAGGTGCTTACATCTCTACCTTCTAGAGTGATAAACTTTTCTCTGTTGGATGAGAAAAGCAATTAACACCAGGCTTGTAAGCAGCTGGTCTCACTGGTGTCAGCTTGTCCTTTCTGAAGGCAAGAACAGTAAGAACAACTACCCACAATGCATCACACTCCCTGCCCCCACCCACCCCACCCCACCTCACCTCCTGACACACAATCTGGTTAATGCTAATTCAGTCAGTGGTTTCCTTCCGAGGCCCTTGGTCTAAATGCAATTACATGGCAAACAAGTTAAGCGGGCAAGGCTCAGCAAAGACTCTCAGTCCTGCTCTGAAGGTCTCCTGATATATTTAGGCAAAATTATCTCTCCACTAATGGGAGATTTATTCCATTAATTGTATTCAGCTGGTGCTGAGAGATGCTTTCTTTAATGGGGGAAAATTGAATTTCTTACTGCTGGAACTTGGTCCTTCTAGATAGAGGATTACTAACAGACCCCATCCCCTGGTGCTGGCCCCTATGGAGCCTTCTCCTGACATGTGTGTCTTCAGGTTCTGCCTGGACAATAACCAGCCCTCTGGAAATGGTTTCCTTTGGGGGCTGCCCTAATTGCTGCCCCTCGGACACATGTGGGCCAGCCTCCTCTGATTTATCTTTCTTTGGGGATCCCCTGCTAATTGGGAAACATGAAATCAGCACCATTTGGCTATCCTGTGACCTCCACTTCAGCAAGCCAGAGCAGATGTCATTTTAGCCCAGGCTCCTGTGTATTGCTTTGGATTCTGGACAAGATTAAGTTGACTCCCCGTGCCCCTGTAGGCCACAGAGACCTCTTGCCAAAACAGACATTTGGCTCAGGAATGAAGTCCTGGAGAAAAACACTTCCATCCTCCTTCTGTTTGACCATGATTTTCAGTTGTCAAGAAAATCCAGGGTAACATAAAGCCTTCCCTGGAACAAAGGAGATGGGGAAGTCTGCTCTGTGGAGGCCCCTGAAATGTGTCTCCTGCCACATGTTTTTGTTCAGGGAGGTTTAAAAAGACGTGGGTGTTGGGCTTCCAAATGCTTTTTTTTTCTTCGTCCATTTATTTAATGGATACCACCAGTGGTGTACTGCCAAACATTGAACAATTGACTTTTGAAAGAAAAATAGTTTTAATTTGTAGCATTTGCCTATATCTGTGGTGTAAATACTTCCATGATGGCTGATTTCAACTACCCCTGAGATGTCACTGAACCCAGAGCTGGGAAGAGATGCAAGTAATAGACTGTCATATAGTATTTCCACCACAGAGATACAATACTAGTAGACCCAAATAAACTCCAGAGCAAAAATACAGCAAAATAACTAGGAAGTGTTAAGTTTTGATTATTTATTACCTTTTAAAAATATAATTTCTTCAAGTTTAATTTTATATAATTTAATTTTTAAATAATATTTGTGTTTAAAAACTAGCTTAAAGCCCTGAGCAGTGTGGTTCAGTTGGTTGGGCATTGTCCCATGCACCAAAATGTTGCTGGCTCCATTCCTGGTCAGGGCATGTGCCTGGGTTTTGGGCTCGATCCCTAGTAGGGGGTTGTGAAGGAGGTACCTGATAGATGTTTCACTTTCACATTGATGTTTCTCTCTCCCTCTCCCTTCCTCTCTCTCGTTAAAAAACAAAAATCAATACAAAAAAAAAATAGCTTGCAGAATTCCTCACAAGTCAGTTCTCCTGAGCGTGTATGAGCCGGCTTCTGTATTCCACTGGAACACCAATCCTATACAAAGGGACAATGTGGCTAAGAAATAGTTGCTGCTTTGACCATGACATTCCACAATGGAAGACGACCTTGGCAAGAAATCACTAACAGGGTACAAATCATAGTCACCAACTTGGCTTCCCAGCTGGCTCATATGATCTTCTTATTATCTGTCCTATATTTGATGTGTTTTGCTTTCCCTTGGTTACTGTCTTGGCATAATGGAGTTTTGGGGTGTTATTTTCTACTCATCCTCAGAGTCCCCACTAAGCTGTCATCACCTCAGTGAGGCTATTACCAGTTTTTCCTGGCACAATTTATCACACCTCCTCTAAACCTTCCAGGTCCTCTAAATCTTCCAGGTATCTCTCCATGACAGTGACTGTCATATTATTATACCACTAGAGGCCTGGTGCACTAAATTTGGGCACTCGGGGAGGGGGGGTGGTCCCCTAGCTCGGATTGTGAGAGGGTACAGGCCAGGCCAAGGGACCTCACCACACAATCGGGGAGGAACGCGGGAGGTTGGCCAGCCAGGGAGGGACTGAGGGAGGGCTCCAGGGCGTGTCCAGCCTGTCTTGCTCAGTCCCGATTGGCCGGACTCCAGCAGCAAGCTAACCTACCGTTTGGAGCGTCTGCCGCCTGGTGGTCAGTGCACATCATTGCGACTGGTCGACTGGTTGACTATCTACCCCCTGGTGATCAGTGCATGTCATAGCAAGTGGTTGAGCGGCCTTAGCATATCATTAGCATATTACAGTTTGATTGGTTGAATGACCGACTGGACGACTGCACACTTAGCATATCAGGCTTTTGTTATAGCATATTACACTTTGATTGGTTGAATGACCGACTGGACGACTGCACGCTTAGCATATCAGGCTTTTGTTACATAGGATTCACATTTACATAGCTCTCTTACATACTTATCTGTGAGCTAGAGGAGGGTGGGACCGCATCTCCGGTGACTACAGTAAGCATGGGATATTGCTCTCTGAGACTTTGTTAGGTGAAAAACGAGCAAGTCACTGAAACTCAGAGAGAAAAGACTTGCTCCAAGGTCAGACAGCAAAGAACTCAATTGGCTGAGCTGACACTCAAAGCTAGGACTTCTTACTTCTAGGTCCTTATTCTTACTACTGTTATATATCTGTAGTCACTAAAATTCACTTTAATGTCATAAAAAAAGAACTTGGTACCTACTAAATTGCTAGGCACTGTGTTAGGTGCTGGGGGTTTCAGAAATGCATGCAATGCAGCCCCAAGTTGCTTGCTGGAGCTCACCAAAGCCAATGTGAAATCCTGAGTGTAGTTGTCTCTGACACCAGTGAGTCAACACATGAGCTTGGCATATGTCAGGCAGCTGGGATACAAAACAGGCAATTAGGCTGGGCGAACTCTGCCAGGAACGATTGCTTGTGCCAGGCCAAGAGGGGCATCAA